CATTGCTGGAGAGGTCAGGAAGAGGATGTGAAGTGATGGCAATCAGGAGTGCCCAGCTCCCCGGGCTGCAGTTTGCCTTGCCCATGCTGCAAGTGGGTTCCTCATGAGCAAATTACGGCTCCCGCTCAACCACCATTCCCACAYGGACATTGCTGCTCTTCCTGCTACCAGCGAGGCCCCCCGGCTGCTGCCTTTACTGCTCAGTGAATTGGCAGCTGCAGAGGATGTGCTGAGCGCCCCAGGTCCCTGTTCTGACAGTGCAGAAGGTACCAGGGCAGGACGAGCAGGGCACCAGGCTCCTTGCTGCTAGTGGCTGATGAACAGGCGTGTCTCCCCCAAAGTGCAGGAGCTGCTGCTTCCTGGGCAAAGGTGGAATGAGGAGGGCCCAGCAGCCCTGCAGCCCCTCTTGTTCAGAGCACCCTTTCCTGCTCCTCCACTTTGACTGCTCTTCGCTGGACATCCCTCCCTCTTCCAAGGCACTCCTGCTGTCCCATCCTTTGAACAGGAGATGCCTGGGACAGGACCTGCTYACAGCTCTGGACCAGGACACATAAGACCAGCCCATTTCCCATGTAAGCTCATTGGGAATAGCTGGTGTTAGCCAAGGCTGCCAGGATGAAGCATGGTGTGAGCATGGCTAAGGAGACACAAAGATGGGATGTAAAGCAGATGTCTGAGCATCAGTCTTCACCAAGCTCCTGGCCTTCTAGACGGCAAGGAAAAACACTGCTCCACTGCTCCGTGYTTCCAGTTCCTTGTGGACATGGGATGCTACATGCCTCGTTTCCTGYCAGAGCTCTGTATTGTGTGGCCACTCTTTCCTCCCTTGCAGCTTTTGGCCGTTTCTGGCCCTTGCCACGCGTGCAGCATCTGTATTAGATGGTGTTGGTCAGAGGTGACTCACGTTGTCACAGCCTCTGCACTTCTGAAGACAAAGAGGAGAGCTGGGGTTGCAGGGTGCTCTGCTTCAACGCGCTTGCTAGCAAACCACAGTGCCAAGGAGGAGGAGGAGAGACTGCAAAAAAGGTAGACTGGGAACATTAAAGTTAGTATTGSTACTTTGAAGAGTAACAAGATACAGGTATGACACAGAAGCACAAGCTGCTCTAAGGGTACTGTGTCCTCGCCACCCCCAAGCTCTGTGGCAAGAAGTTCAGGTAACAGAGTTGTTTCCTCTYTGCCAAGCTTTAATCCAGTCACCAAGGACACAATCTCACTATCAGGTATACAAGCCGAGAAATGACCTTTTCCTTCCCACATGAAAATGTTCCTTCTCCAAACGCTTTCATGTTCCTCTTAAGGTTCTGTAGGAGGGCTGCCCTTAGTAATGATGGTAATAATGCTTAATTCCCATTTATCCACTTTCATCTGTGGCACTTTGATGCAAGAGGAAGGCTTCATCTTTTCTGTACAGAAGTGAGACCTGCACTGATGTGTTGGTCACCACAGTGGCAGGGGGAAACTCTGTGTCCTGCCCACCATGGTGTCTCCTGTAGGTCTCTCTGCACATCCAGGTTGCCTGCTTGGTTCCTTGTGAGCACGGTCTAGCAGCCCAGGCCAACCTCCACCAGACAGCAGGAGAAAAGCATCAGTGTCTACAGCGCACTGAGCTCAGCTTGGGAAAYGGGCAAGCGCGCACGACCTGCGTACCGGCAGGGAACGGGAACGTGACAGTTTGGAAAGCTGGGCTAATGGAAATCCAGCCTGGTCCTGGGAGAGGAGCTTGCGGTAAACTGGGTGGACATGTGAAGAAGTGCTCTGCTGTGCATGAGTGAATAAAWGGAGAGGAATTGATCAATAATGCTGCTGCATATTCCCTTCTCCGCAGTGCCGCCCTCACTGCTGGAGACGCGTGGCCAGGCCACGATCGCTGCAAACCCTCTGCAGTGCAGTGAAACACTCAGGGGCCTCTCGCCTGCACGCTGCCCCTGCCAGAAGAGCTCCCTGCTCAGACTGGCCTTGGGGAAAAAGGTGACTTCACACTAACACCTGGTGGCACCCACGAAGCCTGTGCGGGGACAGTGCGATCCGAGGTGACACCGGCACCTTTCCTACTGTGCTTCCAAGACCAGGAAGACACCAGCGTCAGCCACGACGTCCTCCAACACTTAAGCCTGTTCAATTTGTACGGCAAAGCGGCTTGGTTCAAGGGGAAAAAAGTCCAATTTGACTACACTTTGCTTAAAGAGAGGAGTACTCTGTATTTCTACAACATGCACAAAATCAGATTCCATGTGCCAYGACAGCCCACACGCTCCCTCTCAGGACTGTTATTAGTATAGGGGTGGTTATTGCTGGGGGGTTTATATGCCAGGGCTCTGCTGGCAGCACCCAGAGGGTCTCTCAAACTCAGCCAGCGTCTCCTGCATACGTGTCCCCACACATGGGGAGGGAGGTTCTGCAGTCCCCCGTGCAGCCGGCGACGTTGTGTCCCCTCGGCAGCTGCGGCAGCACTGCGCGATGAGCCCGGCCTTGATGAGCCCGGCCTTGGCGATGCTCCCGCTGATGGCCTCGCAGCTGCCAGGAACAGCAGGAGTGCTCAGCAGCAACACCACCTTTCCGGCTACTGTCACGGAGTGAAAGGAGTTACCAGCATCTCCTCCGCTCCCCAAATTGCTTGGCTTCTCTGCCACGTATCTCCCATTTTGGAGGGGTGGGTTCTGGGCAACGCAGTTTTCCTTCTGTTATAGCAAACTCTTTAGCTCTTTTCTAGCTCTTTTAGCCAACCTGGTCTGAACATGGGGATTTCTACGGTTTTAAAAGATCCACTGTTAGTGCAGAATACAAAGTGCAGAATACACTTCAGAAGTGTAGAAGGCACATCTCCATCTGGTGTAAGCACTGAGTGAAGCTGGCTTTAATGCACCTGTGATAAATTTGGTCCTTAGAGGTTTTAATATACGCCTCATCTGCAGACAGAATTTGAAAAATTATATACCAGCTGCATTTTTACCTATTCTGGAGCAATCCAGCACATCCTTTTAGGGTGACTTGATTATTCTATCTTTTCCCTTGACTGGAACTCCCCTTCCTTAACACCCATATTTCCCCACAGCAGGTCAGAAAGAGTAGGCAGAGATAGGAGACAAGAATTTTTTTTTTGGCTTTTGGAAAAAAACTGCACTGCTGCCTCTATGCGTACTAAACAGGGTGCAATTTATTTACAGTGTAAAGTGCATCACACAGAAGTTGTTTAAAACACACAACAAGCAGTGACATAAATGACAATACAGTATTGGGAGGGGAGGGGAAATGTTCCTGCAAGTATCAAAACAACATCAACAGCATTAATACAATAATCTCTAATTTCACCTACTCTCTTCTACCACCACATCTGTTTATGTAACACGTGGATTGGGTTGATCCTGGGACTCCATGTATTATATGAGTTTACTAGTGTGAAGCTGGAGCGCTAAAAGCCAGCCCCGATCCCCAAAATACTCCTCTACAAAAATGTCCTGCCAGATCTAAGCACTTTCCTAACCAATGCTGTTCTGCTCTGGGGGACACCAGGGCAGAGTAAGGGCAATGCGATGCACACACCACAGAAATACACTAGAAAAGGAACAATTTACTCTTCAGAATACGAGGGTGACGTATAATTAAAAATCTGCTGCCGCCACCACGGCCCCCTTTCACCTGAGGGCTCCCGTGTTGCTCTCCTGGTCTACGGCAGCGAGGAGCTCACGGGACAAAGCGCCTGCAGGTGGTGGTGACTACGGGGTTGGAATATGGGTGCTGTTTGCTGGAATTTACTTTGATTGAAGTGAAGGAACACGTCAATCAAAGCTGTAAACAGCAGCTTTGGAGCTGGGCGTCTGCAGGTGGCTGCTCTGTGCTGCTCATCCCGGGAAAAGGCAGGTCTGGGAGCTGCAGGGACAGCTCTTCACAGCTCACTGCAGCTCTGCATTCACATTAAGTCAGTCTCTAACAACTTCTGCTCTTCATCAGTACTGTTTTACTTATTTAATTGACTGTCGACTGAATGCTCTCATTGGCTCACTTGTTTTTTTATCCCCATTTTTTGGCCTTAAGAGCCATCAGTTACTTGTCAATATTTACCCCTATTCTCATAACTATGAGCTCCTCCTTGGGTCACACCACAGCACTCATACAAGGAAATGAATTTACAAGGGAAGGGGACACATGATGTATTCACTGAGAACCTCAAGGGTAATTAGCAGTAAAATTGCAGAAGATCCATTGTTTTCCTTCCTCCTTCCTAAGGCTGGCTACCTCTCATGCTTTCTATTATTCCTGGAATAAAAAATGGAGCTTCTCATGGCTGATTCTCAGGTTCTCAGTGTAACAGCTCTTGAGGATGAGGCTCTGCTAACTGATGCTATTTACCATACACCTGTTAAGGACTAATGTGTGGTATCCATCAACAAGGGGGGTATGTGATTTCCACCCTCTTATTTTTGCCTAACTAAGTAAATTTTAGCACCTCAGTTCATTAGTTTATTTTTACCTCAGGCAAAAACTCTTGCTAAAGCCTTTTATTAGGCTTTCCAATTAATGTCACACAGTAAACATCACTGATTCTTCTTATTTTTACAACTACCTGAAACTATGGTTACACAATGGACTTTATTAGATATAGTTCTTATTTCAGTTTTGATAGAGGTCCATTGCAAGGTTCACTGGCTCAGCTGGTTATTTATTCTAGCATTGGCAAGGTTTTTAGTTAGTGGCTCATTGAAAGTTATTCTTTACTGTCAAAATAGGGTCCTTTGGCAAATGTTTAAGATCTGCCACGTTCTGTTTGATCATGATAGGCAATATGATGGGTTTTAATCAAATAAATGTACGTAAGAAAAGCAAAGGACTTCTCCATACACAACTACGTCCTTGGTGGGAAGGAGGAATTTTAACATTTGTACGGTGTGTGTGTGTGTGTGTGTGTATGGTGTGTGCGTAGCAGCATATATTTGATATACTTCTGTAAATGAAAAATACAGAGGATTTCTTTAAAAAGGGAAAGGTACAGAAAAAAATATATCACAAAATAAAGTACAAAACCACGGAGCTCGGGGGGGGAAGGGGTGAAATGGATGTGATTTACAATGCGTTAAATTCCAAGCCCTGGTGCCTCGGCTGAAGAAAGGCTTTCTGGATGTGAAGACGCTGCTCGGATGTCAAAAGGGATAGAATCCGGCCTTCCGCTTCCTGTGGCAACAAACAAGGGAGCAGGGTCAGTGCTGCACCCAACATGCAAGGTCCAGAGGGGGCACCCGAATCACAGCGGGGACTGCAGCCCCACAGCAGCACACGGAGAGGAGGAGACGCGCCTGGCATCTAATGTAAATCCTGCATCATCCGAATGTTTGGGAGCTAGTCTGGTCCTGGATGCCCAGGGAGAGGCTTTGGACCCGGGATTTCCTGTTAAAAGGCACTCCCAGTAACTCCTGCTGTGCCTGYATTGTTTTGGGTTGTATTGTTTTGGGGCCATTTGCATAGTACTGGAGACTATAAAGAGCCCTAGGGGAGTGAAACTAAAGTTTAACAAAATACAGAGCAAAACCCACTGCTTTTTTTCCCCATCCTTCTTTTCCCTGATTYGTCCAGAAAGGACAATAAAAAGTGTTCAGTGTCGTTGGATTTCTGGATATCTTGGAGAAAAATCATCCATGTTCAGCTGTTACTTGTTTAACTCTCCAGGAGAGTGGCCACTGTGTTCAGCAGGAATCTGTGTGGGTTGAGGTATTAATAGTTTTGCTACCTGTGGCTTTCATTACCACTTCATGGGCATGAGCAATGGAATTCATCCTGCATCTTTCTTATGATAGTTCATTGCCGACCACAACAGCATGTTTTCAATTCCACCTGTCTTCCTTCTCCAGGGCTTTAAATTACTCCTAATGACAACATGGAAAAAAGCAGCTCTCCAAGGAAACTGGGGACTATCCTGGCTCCCCTGAAGGCCAAACCCCCAAACTTCACAAGTTATTTTTTTAAAAAAATAAAGCTGTATGAAAGATAATAACTTTTAAATTGCAACACATGTGATGCAACACAATAGGCTTTTTATCCTTCACTTTATGCTCCACAGGCTTTGTGAGAGATGAATCAATCCGTAACTAAAACACAAGTACTGGTAAAACCAAGTGAAAAATGGCACACATGAGCAAGAGGCAAGACCAGTTCTTGGGGCTCTTGATACAGGCAGTGCCCCCAAATGATTGAATGGGACTTGACTTGAAGGCACTGAATAGTGCTCCTGAGACAGGGACAACACTTAGCAGGAGGYAGAGCTGCTGTCATTTGTAATGCCTGTTGTATGGCCCTTCTCTCGAAAACCTAGATCCACCTCAGGTACATGCGGAGCCAAAAGAACACAACTTCTGCTCAACAGGCCACCCAGATTTTCAGAACATCTCATATCACAACAAGCACTTTCACTTTCATCACTAAAAATGAGGCTAAATCTTGTGGGTTTGCCTGCTTGCTCATATACTAGTGCAGTATTTTAAGGAATTTCTATCTGTTTAGGAATCATTAGAGTGCTAATTATTCCAGACTGCCTGTAAGTCATGACCAGTTCAGTGATCATTGATTAAGAGGATCTAGAGATGCTTGTCTGCAACATTAACTGCACTCCRAAAAACCTCCCAGAACTACTGTTCTGAAAAAGGGCTCTGAAGCAGGGAGTTGACTCTAACCTCGCACGGCAGAGCACCCAGCACTCACCTCGAGCAGTCATGTCCAGTCCATGATGAGGGGCAATAGCATCGATTTGGCCGTATGCACTTCCCACCGTTCAGGCAAGGAGACTGGCAAACAGCTGCAAGCAAATACACACAGAGCTGCATTAGCGACCACACACACTCCAAGAGGACGGAGGAGCCAGGCTCTGCAAATCCAGCCTGTGCTATTCTGTTTGGAGCGAGGCGCTCTCAGAGCTACAGCATAAACACAGCCTGTGAGTAAGCTGCAGAAGATGGATTGCTTTGGAAAGGGCYGCCTCACACACGTGTCTCTGCTGARAGGGATTCTGCTGCCTCTGCTGCTTCTGCTGTAGTGTCTTATCCAGCCTTACAAATGCTGAGCTTATTTGYTCAGCTTATTTGCTCCAGGCTGAGGCAGAAGAAGGAGTGCAAACAGAAGCAGGAGGAGGAGAAGAGCCTGAAGATGAGCAGCAGAATAGGCCTCATTTCTGGAGCAGGACCCCTAAACAGGAGTGTGACACCTGAACAATACCTAGAACTGAGTTCAGACAAGTAGAAACCAGATGTGGTAAGAAATCCAGAAAGAGGCAGAACACAAAAAAAAGTTAAAGCCCAAAAAGCATTCACAAAACGAAAATCAAAAAGCATTTACAGATCAACAGCAGACAAAGTGTAAGGTACCAGGCCAGGAAACAGTAAAAAACAAAGTTTCAAGTCCTCCCTATCAGTCTGGACATTATGGAGATAAACTGCAGATTTTCAGACACTACTTAATGAGCTCTGTTGATGTAKATATTTATAGAATAGGAGAGCTGAAAATCTAGAGGATGGATCTAAAAACACCAGTGAAGATAAACTCCAGGTATCATCTTTACAAGAAATACTCATCCCTGGAAAGTCTGATTAAAATATTTTTAAAAGAAATGGAAGAAGCAAATACAATAATGTGTAAAGGAAAAATGCACTACTCTCATTCCTTTAGATCAAAATATGAACAGACAATGGCAGGATGTTATAGACTGCTAATCATATATAACTGCACATATAACTGTACAGTTGTAAATTAATTGCATCCTATTCTGTGTATTGAAAAATGACTTTTGAATCTAGAATTAAACAYGTGAATGAAACATTTCTGGCTCTTCTTTCATGTGTGTAACTATTACAGTGAGAGTAGCAGTAATTCAAATATTTCTCATCTCGTTTTGTTCTGTCATGGTAAAATGTCAAAATCCGTGGCAAAGTAAGAAGCGGATTAGTAACTTCACACTAATTGCTTATGACTTTTATGAATGGACTTTTGTACAGATGCCGCTGCACACTAGATTTTTTTTKTGTGTGTGTGATTTGCTGAAGAGGAAGTCACCCTGGACAGATTTGAACTGCTGACCCAAAGTGTTTTTTAAAAAAAATCTTCCTAAGCCATACACACTGTTACAGCTGCAAAGGTTATGAACTATCAGCTGAAATGATGTCTGCTGTGCTAGGCAAGTGCCCTTTAAAGAACAGGATGGCTGAGAAAAATTCTTTGCTTTGGCGTTCCACTGTGCAGGAAGGCTGAATCTGTAGCGTATCACAGAATTTTCCCCTCACTAGATTATCAGGTAAGCAAGTAATGTCAAAATTGATTAGCAACAGCACTAATTCCTCCTTTAATTCACCTTGTTAGCCACTCTAAAGATCTTCAGAAAGACAAAATTAGACCGCTTTGTTACGCACTTATTAGTAATTAGTTATTGTGGGCCTGAAGAACAAAAATACAGGGAACAGACTATCCACTAATATTTAAGCTAATTTTAAGATTTATTCCTGATTAAAAAGCATGTCAATGATCACTCAACTTTTAAGGGTTTTATTGGTTATTACCACAGGGATAAGCCTTCCAAAAATAACTTGTGCTCAGTCTTGACATGGAAGTAAGCATGTCATATATGGATTCAACATTATCCCTAATTTCAGATTAGCTTCACCTAGTACAAGCAGGATGCACACAAGGGCACACAAATTAAGGCCCTGCATCACTCTCCACCTCTATCTTGTGGTGTTACATAGCTTTGAACCTCAGTTAGGTGGAAGTAAGAGGTCTATTAAAATGCAATTTTCATCAATTTTGTTAAAAGTGGTCTGATTAAGCCACGTAATTCAACCACCTTTAAACACATCCTCTGCCCTCTTACGTGGCTCAGGGCTCAGGACTGAGTTGGGCAATGCTTCACAGAAATTCTCCATACCAGACAGCTATGCGGTGAATAACCTCTGGTACCTGCAGCTCCCTTATCAGCTTAATGGTGAACTGCATATGCTGGGGTTGGAAATGAGAGAAATTCTAATCCTTCTCRGGAACCCTGTTTTGTTTTTGTCTTTGGAAGTCTCTCCTCAGCACCGCATTTTGTGGAAARATCTCCAGTTAATGCTTATTGTCCTTTCTGGGAGCAAACTGATCCGAGGATTGGGATGAGCTAAGCCTCATGCTGAAAAAAAGAATATTCAGAAAACAGTGTGTAGCTGGGGAGAGCAAATCTGCTAGGAATGTTTTTGCASGGCTGAGGTTTTCTGTGGGAAGCTCCTATTTAGAGCCCTTAGTGAGCTGTGCTAGGTAGTGATGATGGTCACAAAAGGGGCAGGTGAAAGGAGTTTTACCAGTATGGCAGCGTGATCCAGTCCATCCAGGAGGGCAGTCACACTGGTAAGGGGCCACACAGCGACCTCCATTGAGACATGGCAGGATGCATATTGCTAGGAGAAGACAAAAAAGAAGGAAAGAATTATCACCTGTGAAGAAGTGTGATAGTGAAGAAAAACAGTGTTCAAGTGAGAATGTCACCTTTTTTTTTTAACAATAAATACTAGCACCTGTCCCCACAAGTGTTTGTATCCAGTATCAGCAGAGTTGAACTATGAGCAAGGGATAAGTTGTGGCTAAAATGGGCCCAGAAAGGACAAAGAAGGTGGACAAACAAATGGGCAAACCGGAGCAATTGCATGAGTCCTTTTAGAGGACTGAAGGTTCTGTGAACACTCAGGGATACCTGCAAAGGATACCTGCTTGTTTCTCACATGTAGTACCTACAATCAATACTTACTTCTGTGAGAGAAYGATGCTTTTATCACAAGCTAGTAGAACTTCCTCAACATAACATTCAAAGCAATGAAATCATGCACTAACTTCAGAAAATCACTGGAGATTATATGTTTATGTGAGCATGCACAAGTGGAAAGAGGAGTTGGAGCACAGAACAGCACTTCTTTGGGAGTTTCATGGGAGGATGGATGCAACTGCAGAGGGCTGGTGAAATTCTTCTTCCTGCACTTCACTGTCAAGATCAAGCTGAGCAATTGCAGCCAGCTTGGATAGGAGAGGATTGTGACCTTCCAGGAGTTTGCAGGACTAATCCGTATCACCAAGAATTAACATTGTTTGCATCAGTAAGTTTGTGGGGTCCTGTGCATTTTTAAGGGTGGCCAGACCTTTCTAAGGAAGATGAAGACTGCCTTGTTATCTTTGAAATGAACTATCAGTGGTTTCATCTGTGGTGTGGCCCTGAGACACCAGTGCKCAGTGCTTATACTTGCCTTCCAGGGCAGACACTCCACACCAAGAAAAGTCAGTGTATCTTTTACSTGCACTGATGGATCTTGCTCATCAAACAAGGCTGCAAAAGGAGGTCAGACTAACTAGCAGCATGAAGCCCTTTCCTCTCTCCTTACTACCTGTGCCGAATGAAGGAGAACACRGAGAGGTAGTGCCTGTGTCTGTGTGGAGCATAATCAAGCCAGTCAGCTGTCTGTTCCTTTGTTTCATACGGGAAGACAAGGTCTGAACTGGGATGGCAGATCAAAACAACCAGGGGCCTGCAATTTGTCCTCTGGCCCTGAGGAGTACACTCAGTGTTGTTACTAGCAGCAAGGCAGGGAGATCAGCCGTGGTGCACCAAGCTCAGCTCTGAGACACTGGCCTCCTCGCYGCCCTCCTGCTGAACCTGTGGGGCAGACAGGATGGAGCTTGCAGGTTTGGCTCTGGTGGAGGGGACAGGGAGACGCAGGGAGAACAGAACAGCGGCTGTGCCATGGCACCACGCAGCTGGAGTTCTACCAAAGTGTCAACTCGAGGCACCTCTTGTTCTGCAGCTCGAGATCTGTGCCACAGGGAACGGGCTCTGCTCTAGCGCAGGCTGCAAAGAGCTTGCTGAGGTAGGTTTAGAGGATAATTTAAAAATGTAACACATCTGCCTGGCAATAAGTGTGGACCGCATCTCTCTCCATGTGCTACAGGAAGCAGTACCACTCCTTTCCCGACGTCTACACTTGGAACAGAGACATYGTCATCCTCTCAACTACAGGTGTCCTTGGGCCCTCTGAAACCTTGGGTGAGGGCCAGTCCAGAGCCAGGACTAAATGCAAGAACAGCACTTTCCTTTCTATTCATGTAGACTCACGCCTAAACGCCCTTACAGTCACAAGGTCTCTTCTGCTTGAGCACTGCCAACCTGAAAGGCACAAGCCTTACCAACCCGTTCTAACAAAATCACCACTGGGGAAAAGGGAAATAGGGCATAAAGTGGCCTCTGAGGACACCCAGGGAATCTCTGCAGGCACCAAGGTCAAAGCTGGCTCTTCTCAAGCGGGAAAGATCCAATTCTCCAGCTACACAGATAGAGAAAACTAAGGTCTGCCCACCATTTATGGGTGGTAGAGATCAGGAGGGACAGTTTGGAAAAGATGTCACAGCTGTATTATTTGACCAAGAATTGATCAGGTTTATAATTACAGACCTAAAAAAAGGAAGCCAAGAAAAAAAAAACACATCTACTGGCATAACCATTATATCCTTCTGCTCTAATCCSCCTGTTTTTACCCAAATTACTGTGTCTTGTCATTACAGGTAGGTTTTGGGGAACTGAAGCAAGCTTTTCAAAGAGAGTGAGGGAATAGCGGAAAAAGAAATCTCATCAATTAGAGATAAGTTATTTTTGGCTTGGAGATATCAGAGGACGGTCATTTATCTAGAAACAAGCAATCTACTAAATCCTTTCAGTTGCTTTTAATTTGTAAAATAGAAAAGTTACGTTTTTTTAAGTTTCTGGGCTCTTAAATCTTTAATTTTCCAACCACGTTCACTCTACTAAATTCACCTGCCTTATAGAAAACATCCTTAAAACTACATCTGAAGAAGATATACATACGCTCCTCGCAGAGACGGCCCATCCAGCCCTCTGGACACGAGCACGCGTTCGGTCGCTCGCATACTCCTCCGTTCTGGCACGGGAACCGGCACACAGCTGGAAAACAGGAATGGCCACGTCAGGACCCAGCAGGCTACGAGCAGCCGACCAGCATCTTGCACGGATTGTTGGATTTGTAAGGTTTGGTGTAGGAAAAGTAAACATAGCGAAGCTCAGAAAGAAAACTTGGCTTTGGCTTTGAGGATTACATCATTTTCTGGCTGCGTGCAGGTGGCAAGGTACTGCGAGCGAGTGTAGGTGGGAAGGAGCACGTGCAACACTATCCTCTTTATTTACTGTGAATGATTAAGATGAGGAAGAATTGTCTCTCCACTACTGAAAGTTTTTTGTATTGCATAGTAAATTTCTAAGTTTTTAGTATAGCACGGTAAATTATCTGGACAATGTTTCAAGGCTGATACTGTGTTTTACCTAGTAATTTTTTTCTTCCAGTTTTATAACACATACAAACAAAATCCTTATTTTTCTCTTACAAGTTAAATCCAAAATAAAACCAAGCTTTCTTCCAACCTTGTTACAAAACACAAAGATAGAGCTGTCTGGTATAATGCGGGCTTTGTCAATACGGCACAATAAACTGCTGTACAATTTTTATGCACTGCCATCCTGAGCGATAAGCAGTGCTCTGCAAAGCACAGCCAGCTGTTTCCTTGTACACACCGAAGTGTGGTTATCAACGTCCCCTGCCATTCACGCTGGCTGCTGCTCCCTAACGCAACCCTTAACAAGTCCCTAATCATAAAAGTGAGGAATCTGAAAGYGTCCCCTGTCGTGCTAGCTTAATAACTGTTGTGACTTGAGACAGACTCTGGATTTTATCGCCATTCACCTGCGCTGCACTGTATCTTGGCTAGCACACCCAGGGAAACCAGGGCCACTCTGCAAAACTGGTGGCAAGGTAACTTCAAACATGTTAAGACTTCACCAGAGCAAGAACTAACCGTCTCACAGGGTGCACTCTTGTGCACCACATACACAAGATCAAAAACTGTGGCTTCCAGATAATACTGCAGAACAAATAAGTAATCACACTATGTTCTAATTAGTGGTACTCATGAACACAGCATAACCTYGGGAAACCCAGTTGGAATTGTTAATTGCGTCCTATCTTTAATAACTTATTTAGAGCAGCAAAATAAGAGCTTGGGCTTTGAAAGTGTTTCAGATGTCACTGAATTTTAGTATCAAATATAAACAGTGGTTTAACATGCTGAAACACTGTTCAGACCTGAGATCCCCATTGGAAGGAACGCAAATTTTCCACTGATGGAGCCAAACTTGACTGACATTTGCAGCTAATCCATGCCAAGGTGCAAGCTACGGCTTGGAGTCACCCGAAATATGGCCAAACTTTTGTCTTTATTTTTCATACTCTGAGGCCTTACATCATTTGTCAACTGATCCTGAATTTAAAATTTAAATAATTTAAAAATAAAAAGACATCTTGGGTCCTGAGAGGGTCACAGAAATTGCATATTTTAACAGATAATTTGCACAGTTTTGTTATAGATATGTATATAGTAACATAGACAGTTTGTCTCTGTGTGTCCACTAAAGCAGAACAATGTGCAGATTAGATTTTCTATATTCTATAAAACATCATGAAAGTTCAGGACAAAATCATTTAAAGCTTTGTGTAATCCACACCACTCCAATGATATTCCATGAACATAAAACAGGACGGTGGGGCTAAGTCTGACATATAAGTGGTATCTCTATTTGAATCCACAGACCAAGACAAACGGCCTCTGAAGCCTATTCTGCCTGTCAGCAAAGGGGCAGATTTTCCAGGAGTTTTAGGATTCGCTTGGGATGCAGCTCCAACCATCAGCTCCAGCAGCTCAGGATCTCAGGCAAGGATCTTTCCCTGGCTTTGTGCCCAGGCCCTCGTTGCGAAACTCTGAATGAGGAGGACATTATAATCTCTAGATGTGCACTTGTTATACCCTGATTTAAGAGGAGAGAGAGACTCTGTGTCTGTAGCTGTGGGGATTATTATTCACTCAGCAAACAAGGCTGGAGAAAGGCTTACGGCGGGAGTTACGTCAGGATCTTGTTCTCCTCTCGGGCAAGCACGAGAGCAAGCCAGGCAGAGGCACTGATCTCCTGGGGACAGACAGGCAACCACTAACAACAACTGCAGTTACTCTAGCAGGTCCCATATCCCAGCTGTTAATGTTTTGAGGCCTCCTTGTAAATCCATCCCTGACAATGATCTGTGCAGGACACAGAAGTTTTACACTGGTGTAGCACTGATATGGGTCAGGAGGTAAAAATAAAAATGCCTCTGTTCCCACYTTCACAACAAATCTTTCACGTGACACCAAGTGAAAATGTTTCCCCAGTCTCAGAGCCAGCCCATCAATACATTCTTGTCTGATAAGCAAGTATGAACTTCTTGCCTTGCACCTCCTCACCCGGAGATCATTCCTAGTCCGTGAGATGCAGGCAGGGAGCAAATACAAGGCACAGGTTTCAGGAGGGACAGGTGGAAGCGGCGTTGGACTGGGTGCATCTGTGCAGGTCTGTGCAGGCCGCCGAGCCCCCCAGTGCTGCGGTCAGCAGGATTGGGGTGACCCGTCCCACCCCTGGGCCTCGGACCAGCACCGGGCCTGCAACCCTGCACTATCAGCAATCCAGGCGAGTGCAGCTGCGGCTAGAGCTCTCCCAAAGAAACGAACACAGTCTGCTTTTTAATTATAATATTTATGTTAACTAACCCGTTCAACCGGGCCAGAACACTTCTGTCTTAGGACACAGTAATAATCATCTCACAGTGCCAAAAGCAAGAAGTGCTGCATGAGTCATCGCGAGAACTGCTTTCATGTCGCTTCTGACGTAGACCACAAGGGCTTGCAGGGTCCTGTAGGCCTTTTGTCAGGCAAATCTCTCCCATGAATTATAAAGAAGTTCTGAAAGATTACTTTGATGTGTGTCACAAAAACATACGTCTGCCCTCTCAGAAACATCTTTGGTCCCTTTTGGCTTCCCCTTTTAGGTGGAAAGAGGGGTAATTGTAATTCCCCTAACTTAATAAAGCAAAATGCAGGTTATTCTCCTCTGCCTTCTTGTCCTATGCTCACTTTGCCTGCCTACTTCATCACATCCTGTTTTTTGGATATTGCTATTATACTTAATCCTCTGCACATTATTATGCTTAATATACTGCACATCCTATTACACTTAATCCTCTGCACATCCCAATGGATTCAGTGGTGTTGGACACGGGATAAGTTCCTGTATGCAGCAGGATTGTTCATCACAGATCAGCCCTCAAATTTGTTAGCAACTTCTGGAATCACCCTGTCTTAGTAGAGAACTATAGCGATTGGCATAAGGTAGGATTCTGTACAAAAACAAATATGAAATTAGAATAAAAAGTAGTGATCGGTGATATTAAAGACACAACTGAAGAATCTAGAGCATTAAGACCTGGAGAGATAACATCCAAATAATTTTCCTAAAGAATTTTAGTTTATGTTAGAGTATGTGTTGCACAGAAATCTGTTGAAATCTGTAACCATCACAGTTTAAGGGCAACAATGAGATACTAGGCAAACTTTTCAGAAGTGCTTCTGTGGCCTGGGAATGTATGTCCTCCACAGGGCTTTTGGATACCTCTTGGCAGCTGAAATAACTCAGATGCCTTTACTATTAGTCTTCTCTACTTGGCTTCTGGACAAGCTGTCTCCCCATTGCAATGCCAAGTCAGGATCACATCACCTGCGATGACCTGAAAAAATGGTGGTTTTCAATGACAGCTTATATATTACCGAACTATTCAGGATTGCAAGCCTTTTTTTTTTTTTTTTCCTTCCTCTAGATCGTCCCCAAATAATCTACTACTGTGATTTCTAGGTCTGGCAATATAAATATCATGCCAAATTATCATATAATAATCATATATTACTATATATGACAGTAATATGATTATTACATATGTGAACATGACACTATATTCACATACAAATATGAACTAACAGAGAACCTGCTTCAAACACAGCTTTTCCCAACAGGACAACTTAACTTGTCTRGGTCAGGACACCGCCACCAACATTGTTTGGTTGCAGAATTCATATAAAATAATTTATATAGCACTCCTAATTATCCAGACTAAGAGTGTATAAAAGGTCTCTTTCCAAGGGCTTCCAACCTAAAAAGGCYGAGGAGGGAGAAAGTATTATTACTGCCATTTTAGACACAGGTTGCCGAGAGACACTTGCAGAAACAGAAGTGGACCTGACAACTTTAATCATGTTCCCAGACTGACATTTTGACACCTCTCCTCTTCTAAGGGAGTCTGTGAGCTTTGAGAATGGGACTGCTGATGACTGGCCAGTGACAGCCACTAAATTTTTTGTTGTCATTCATCTCATTTCTAAGTAACACATCTAAGGCACAGCTCACAGCCTGGTAGGAGGCCTACCAGCTGAGACACAATTTAGGATGCCAGCAAGCAGGTAAGTTATCCTGCTTGTGGCAAACTCAGAGCTGCAGGGCCAATACATTAATGTGGAAATGGTAGAAGCCAAGGTATCAAAGCCCTGCAGTTTGAAACTCTTCTGCTACACATTGTTCTAGGTTTTAAGTTAGTGCTTTAAATTGTTTTAATTAATATCTGTTTTCAACTGTTTAGGTTATTACCACTTTGTTTTGTGGGGCCTTCTTCCACTTTCTGTATCAAACTGATTATCTTAGTGCTGTGTGTGGAGGAATTAATTCTGTAATTTATACAAATGTATGTTTTTAAAGACCAGTAAACCAAACAGTGGCAATTTCCTTAAGACATGCCAATGGCATGAAAGCACAGTCTTTGCCTTCCYGTTTTGCTGAAATCATACAATTTGCTTAGCCCTTAGCCTGCATTATTTCAGTGAGCTGTACCTCAATCTATTTTATTGAGGCCAACAAGCTCTAAACATGGTGAGGGCCTAAGGATCCATCTAATGTCCCACTTTGTTTTCCCCAGTGCTTGTTCTTTAGCTGCGAAAAGATAGATATCTTTGTGCTCTTATTGAACTGCTACTGACTCACAGTTCTGGCCTGAAGCAGATCAACCTATGAGTGTGAATATTTGCTTCCAGAAGAGACTTGTGAGAGATGATCTCAGGGTGTGGGATACATTGCTCTTGCAAAAGAAACTAAGGCATTAGCCAGGAATAGAGATCAGGTTTGTGGAAGCTTTCTCTCACTTGGAAATAAAGCAATGCCCTGCACATAAAATTCCCTGCACTGTGCATGGAYGGCTGCTCTGAAAACAGCAAGAACTTGACTTTCATTTTACTGCACGTAGGATGCTGTCCCTGTGCTTATGGRAAGATCAGAAATGTGCTTGCTAGCTGGGTGCACTCATACCTTTGCAGGTTGGGGGTGTTGTCCATGTCCCATTTTCCAGGCAAACGCTCCGCAGGGGCCCTTCCAGCATGAAGCCACTGTAGCACGAGTAGGTGACCATGTCTCCATACTGATAGAAGCTGCCACGGAYCAGAGCATTCTCTGTGCGAGCTGGGGGCCCACAAGATATCTCTAGAGGAAACAAACCACCCAGAGGCTTGGTCAGCTGCATCAGCACACACAGACACGCTCTGCATCATTCTCAAGAAACAATACGTCCTTCATAGAGCTTCTTAGTTCACCTTTATGTGCCAGGGTCTCCAGCAGAGATCCAGTTTACACCTCCAAAAGCTTTTCCTGCACCTTCTCAAATGAGAAGTCTGAGAAGTTTTGTCTGCAACTGCAGACAAAAGCTCTCTTCACCCAGAATAAGTGTATTTAAGTGGAGAGTTCTACTTACACATCCATGCTGCCACGCTCACTTTGGGATATACCTGTTGTCACCAGTCCTACAGAAAGGCCAGAGCAGGGCTGCAACTCCTGTACTTACTTTCACACTTAGCTGTTGCTGGAGTCCAAGTTTCATCGGCATTGCAGGTGATCACAGATTCTCCTTTGAGCTGGTAGCCTTCCCTGCACCTGATGGATACGTTCTGCCCAACATAGAAGTCCATTTCCGARAGCAAGGCGTTTTCTGGGATGATGAAAGGCACAGGACAAGGGTTTGCTGTTCACAGAAAGGGTGTGAGGAAAGAGGAATAGGAACAAAGGAGAGAGAAGGAAAGAAGACTTTAGAAAAATAGCTSAAAATTTTAAAATCAAGTCATAAAATGAACAATCTGCTCGCAAGCCCCATTTGTAATTTGATGCTAAGTTATGAGATGAGGGYTTGCAAGTAAATGACAAAATGCTGTTGATGACTTGCTACCATACTGCGCAGCCACCATTGGAAGAGGTATTGAGGATTTCAGCAGAGAATATCTTACATGACACCATCCAACCACCCTCCATTGGCTCGAGCCTTTACCAAAATCTTATTGTAAAGTGATTCAGTTATTCTATTTAGCTGTTCAGAGGGCCTGCAGCAACATAAAGCAGCAGAAAATCCTGGTATTTGTACAGAAATCCTCAGTAATTTTCATTAGAATTTAGAGTTTCTCTGACAGTTTTGTCTATTGCTGGCTGTAGGCTTSCTGAGCCTTTTCTGAATAGTCTGCTGGTCTTTCATCACAAACGTGAGAGATGCTGAACTCTAAATACTGTAGAGACTGATGCCGGTTTCCTAAAACTAAAATCATACACATGCTTTGTTATGCAACAATTAAATGTCTCAACTGCTACCTGAAACTAGACATTAAGATGAGTTAGACCCAGATACAGCAACAAGGAAGGCTGTGTGGGTGTGCATGTGTGTGTAAGGTGCTATTTCATAGATAACTTACAAAGTCCTTTAGACAACCTCCTTCTCAAAGCAGGGCCAACTATGTCAGGCTGCTCAGAGTTTTGTTCAGGTGAGCTTAACACATAAGGCAGTTTTCTAACTAAACAGATCAATACAGAGCACAGTTTGTGCTTTCACTGTCACAAAAATAGCCAATATACTCGCTACTGCTTTAACATGGCTAAGCACTCTCTCCATTACTTCCCCACAAACATGGGATGCCCCCCAACAGGTAACCTCCCTGTTGGGCAAAACAATCTTTCCAGCTACTAGTAACAAATCCTGTTCTGGGCCACTCTGAAAGAGAATTACAGTCCATCTCCACAAAGATCTGCAGAAGTTGCTCTTAATTACTACCCCTTTAAATGAAGAGCAGACTGTCCTTTAATGCTTACAAATTAGACCACTTTTTTTTTTTTTTTGTTTTGTTACAAAGCGAACACACACGTTTACAGAGAGGGAAGGGATTGCTCCATTTTCCATCCTTTGTGCACTCTGCTTCAGGTTCCCCTTCCAAGGTGTATCCTCTCTTGCAGAAATACGCTATAGTACTGCCAACTGTATTGTTCTCATAGACCACCTTGCCATTCAGCAAGGRAACTGGGACTTTGCATCTGGTCTCTGAAAAAGAAGAACTCTCATTAATTTAGCTTGATATTAGGACTCCAGCAATTCCTGGCTCATTCACACAATATATTTAAAGTGACAACCACTGAGTAATGAATTATAAGGAATACTAAGGCAGAGTTCAGTTTCTGGGCAGGCAATGCAGCCATGCTGGGGAAGGAGCTCCTCCCAGTGATGCAGAAAAGCCACAGCCTCCTGTTTTTCAGGTCAGCAGAATCTCCCAGTGTTGGTAAGGAGAGGACAAGTTTATGACTTCCTGATGGGGTTAATGTGGCAGAACACGAGTGGCTGCTCCTCACCACTAAGAGAAACCTCAGAAAGTTCCAGCTCTTTGTCCATTCCTTTTCGCCAGACTGGAAATGCCAGACAAGATGCAGGATGTGTTGTGATGAGATGCTGACACTTACATTACTAATTGCTCCACTCAGGACTTTAGCTCTGTTTCCGAAGCCAGCAGGGAGACAGCCCAAGTGGGGCTACCAATACTACAGAAGAGGTTCTGTTCTTTGCCCCTTTTTCCATGAAATTTCCCTGGGTTCTGCATAATGGCACAATGACTGCAGATTAAGCTACCAAAGACTTAATCAGGCAAGCGGAAGAGAGCATGTTAAGGATGTAACAGCCACCTCGTTCCCGAATGAGCAGGGCCTGACCTTGTTCAAGGCAGTCTTCTTGAGTTGTGGCTAGTTTCAGAACTGCTGGTTGTAACTTTCCTCTTAGGCATCTGGATAGCTCCTTGGGACCTCCTTTCCAGCATGGATGTTAACATCCAACTTTGCAGATCACAGGTAGGTGGGCTGTAAAGCACTGTATGGTCTGCGTGGTCACACACACAGAATATGGTGGTCTCTTCTCTAAGAAACTGGTCTTGCCTTAAGGGATCATATGAGCAATATGATTTATTGCTCATGTGATAATGAAATAACATTTATTGCCCAAGATTGCTTCCATCATAAGGAATGTCACAAATGGCCTGCCCTCATGCTGTTTCTGTAGCTCTGGTGACAGGAATCTAACATATCTTGAGTGGAAGATGGAGCTGTCAAGTAATCTGGTACTCTCTGAATGTGTTATGAGGAGCTGGGTGGAAAAATCAACATCCCAGCTTCATGTGAGAACGGCAGGGGCAGCAAGGAAGGCAAGCAGGAGCTTAGGTCTAAATTCAGCATGGGAGACCAGAAATGTGAACAGCAGGGATATGAACAGCCTTAAGGGGAAGTATGACAGGCAAGAAATGAACTGGTGTCTTTCTGAGAGAAGAGGAAGGAAGGGAAGCTGGGAAGCACACAAAAAGCCCACGTTTTGCCTTTTTATGGCAAAGAGGTTGCRAAAGGAGAAGAGTCACGCTTAAGGGTTTATAATGGAATTTATTAAGCTTCCTTGTGCTTAACATTTTGATCACTCATCCAACAATAGGATACTGAAGATTTTGTGCTGTTTTTTTTTTCTGTTAACAGCAGCCTTGTTTCCACCTCCCCCTGCCCAGTCCATGGACACAGTTCTCACTTGACACTGATTTCTGCTTTAGGGTAAGAACAACAAGACCTTCTGAGGGAGCATTTCAAAGCAGCAGAGATAAAYAGCATACATTCATGGCGCATGTTCATGTGAGGAATGTGGTGGTGATTGGTTGAGCTGTTGAGATGGTTCTCAAGACAATGTTGCCTCTSAGATTGAGGCCAAAAATTCACAAAACAACAATAACAATACAAAAAAACCCCCAACCYAGCAACAGACTTATGAAGACTGCTGGAAAGAAAGTCATTTGTCCTCCCAATCCATTGTCTTTGGTTAAGAGACTGTTTCTCTGAGATGCAGAGAAAGCAGCCTTATCTCTCATTAGAACTGTGAAACTGCAAATTAAAATCCTAAAGATAATTCATGTCTAAGATCTCTTCTGTTTTGGTAACTGCTCCCTGTGAAACATTTCAGCTCTCAKGCACCATCTCAGGCACCATCTCGGCCAGTAAAACGCACGTCACAGACCCATTTCCAGCAGCAGTTCCATTCCTGGATCGTATGGTCTGCACGCAGAAGAGGTGCCCTGTAGTTTAACCCACATGAGGTTGCGCTGGGGCCATGAGACTGAACACTTACCTTCACACAGAGGCAAKGGTTTACTCCAGCTCCCATTGGCAAGACATGTGATGTTCTGGGGGCCAACCAGATGGTATCCAGAGCGGCACACGAAGGTTACGTTACTTCTGTATGTACTTCCTGTAGCCACGGCCTCTGCTTTTTCCACCGAGGGATGCAGCCCACAAGTGATTCCTAGAAGAGGAAAAAATGTTATAGAGACGACAAGGCCCATCTGCTATACATGGTTTGACGTCTTACTTCATACACTGAAATTAAGGGARAGATGGGGAGAAGAAAGAAGCTGTGTAAGTATTACAGAGAGCAGGGTTATGCAGTGCCTTGTCTGCCCTCTCTCCTGGTGCTCAGGTTGCAGAYACCTGAGAGAGGTGATACTGCAATGATGAACGATGAATACCCAATGATATTGCAAGCTATGAAGTGCTTGCCAGAAGCAAGGACTTTCATCGCAAGCGATGCAGCCAGAAGTATTTCCAGGGTATTTCCTCTAAGTAGACCAAAGGCTGCATTTGCAGGCTTCTTTGCTCCCCACACARTGGAAGGAGGCCTCAAGAAAAATGGCCAAAGTTTAAGAAAAATCTCTTCTCCTGTCCCACCCACCAGGCAAACGGGTTAATTCTGAGAGAKAAGAATGAAAAGGAAGAGGAATATGACATTAACAGAAAAACATGTGAGACATTTTATTGGTAAAGGTGGTGAAACCGTAGTATGTTATTAATGAGCCGTGTGAAAGAAGTCTTAAATCCTTCTCCCCAAGCTCCTGCAACTAACCACCCTCTGCTGCAGGGTTATGAGGAGCCGAGAYGTGATCCCAGAGAGCAGAGCCTTGTGCTCCGGGCGCACAAAGCGCCTGCGATGCATTGGCCCCAGCATTGCAAAGTGCAGAGCAAACCAAGCACAACGGGCCACGCTCCTCCCCTGGYGCCCTGAGCAGAGCTCTGTGCCTATGTCATTCTAACACGCCAAAAGGAGCTCCCTTCGGATCAGGGAGGAACCACCAGTGGGAACTGCACAGCCGGCTTCTCCCTGGCTGCTCTGGTGACAGCTCCCGGCTGGAGCGCGGAGCTGGGGGAAGCCGGCRCGAGCTCCCGCGGTTTCCTTCCCAGCCCTCCCACAAAACTGTGTCCGCTCSGCTCTGCCCGCTACGTACGGAGGCACGACGGGGCGGCCGGGCTCCACCTCTTGTCAACGTGGCAGATCCGTCGGCTGGGCCCCCGCAGCTCGAAGCCGGGCTCGCAGCTGTACAGAGCCTCGCTGCCCAGCAGCGTCTGCTCCCCACGAACRGCTCCGTTCTCTATCACCTCCGGGGGCCCACACGAAATCCCTGCAACACAGCGAAAGGGTTGTAATCGCAGCGCACAAGGACTCCCAGCTCCTCCACAGTTTCTGCTCTGTGACACGGGGAGAATGTGGTGTTTCCACAGGCATGCACAGGCAGTTGGCCCTAGACACAGTGCAGTAGTCATGCTTGATACTTCCAGTTAATGCTAAAAGACAAAATCCATTGTGGTGGTGTTGGCAGGAAGTCTGAGGAGGTTCCAGTGTTGCCACTTACAGTGAATAGCTGAAAAYCATGTCAGCATTTATGTAGGCAACTCGTCTTTCCACACTGCAGTCAGCGGAAATGAGACTTCTCATGGGACTGAAGTTCCTCAGAAAACACATGCCCATGGGGTTAAATTTCAGAATATTGAGCACCTGGAAATCCTGGTAACTCTGATGTTCAAAGGTCCTCATTAGCCCCCAGAAATCATGACCTCAGTGCCAGAATCGATTAAACTTCAAAGCTGACCTTCCAAAGGTGAGTAAGTCATCTGTTACAGCAAGAACACTAACTTTCCTGATTGTCACTATGGCTATTTGTACATTTAGGTTTTCAGAGAAGGCTCTGGTACTGCCCTCATCTTATCCAAAAGAAGCGAAGTTAAGACAGAGTTTAAACTTCCTCAGATCATTACTGATTTCTCCAAAAAGTGTCTAAAGATGCACAAAACTAAAACAGCAGAAAGAATGCGTCAAAGACCTGACTGTGCAACCAGCCCTATCTAAAGGATCCAGAAATAGAAGTACTCAACAGCACTAGTCACTTCAGGGGCTGTTTGCCAAGCTTTCCTGGGGGCTGAGGAGGGACGTGTTGTGATTTACTTCCCACAGGTACCTCTGAAAACTTTGCAAGTCTTCCAGGAGATATCTGTGGTACTYGCTGAAAATGTCAGATCTGAGTTACAAAGCAAGCAAAACAAGCGTCAGCGTTTTTGGTTGAGCAAAACCACTGTGGATCAAATTCAGCAAACGACAACCTCAGGTGGAACCTACTTCTGCACACCGGTGCTGTGCCACTCCAGAGCTTGTCTCCTTGGCAGGTCCGCTCCGTATCACCCTGCGAAGCAAAAGGAAAAGCTCAAACAACAGCTTTCCTTACTGACACCCTCTCTCCCATCAACCTTTRGATTGAGTAAGGCCTGTGCATTTTCCCACCCTAGGGAATTCATACGTTCATAACAGCAAGGTTAAATGCTATATGYCCTATTAGTAGACGCTCAGTAAAATTCCCTCCTGCAAATTGCAGGGTACTTTTGACAAATCTGCAAGTCAGAGAGGCAGCTCTCTTGYCTTTCTCCATGGAACATCATCTCTCTTGCCAGTTGCACCATTCTTGTTTCCAGGAATGTGTTAAAATGATAATTTTTTTCCTTCTAGTACTCACTTCATGAAAATCTGACTAGCATTTTTTTCAAGAACAATACAACCTAGTGTGTTTTTAAACATACTGTACTAATTTTGACCATATCCCAAACGCACATTCTTTACATTTGCTAACAAACTACTTTKTTTCTTTTTTACATACTAATTTACAGCCAGTCTAATGCCCTGTGATTTATTTCTTATTTCATTCCAGGATTTGGAGAAACACATCTATTTTTGCCCTTGAAGTAATGTACTTTCATTATGAAGCAAGCCCATTGACAAGGACAGCTATTTGAAATGGGGCAGTATGTGCCTTCCACAGGAAAAAAGAGCAGGGAGGGAACATTGACACTAGGTGGCGAAGTTGGAATGCAAAACTTGGCAGGACTTTTTAATTTAAGCATGCCCTGGCTAATTAACATCACAACTAYGCCAAACTGCACTTATACCTACCTAATTACCAAGCCATCCTTCCTCCCCACAGCAATATCATATATGTAACATATATATTAAAAAAAGAAAACTTATTATTAGCTAAGCATTCTCTAAACATTCAGTTTGACAGTGGTCTCTTCTTTCTGGTAGAGAAATCAACTGTTCCAGTTTTAATCCTGAATGCTGCAGGATCTAGTTGCTAGCATAAACTGTGCCTCCTGTATTACAGAAATGCTCCGACTCACTTTTCGTGCCCTGTTTCCCCAGCTTTCTACCTTGTAGCCTAAATGTGTATTTCCCAGAGTTTCTGTCAGTACGAGTATCCACATTTTTGGCTATTCTCCCTGAGACAACCCCACTGCAGAACCACCAGAGAGATGCTCAGGGGCTGGATCCACTCCTGCCTGGCTGAACTCACGTGCATGGAATTGGTATTTAGCAGCAGCTTATTTTCCCTTCTGAGGTCTAAGCAGCTTGTGACAGCACATCTGAGGCCAGCCCAGGTCCTGATAACAAGCCACAGCGGCGCCTCGGAGCTCAGACGGGGCTAACTGATACTAAAAACAATGGGCAGTGCCATAAGGAGGGGGCTTTGTTCTCATCCCCACTGGAGAATAAAGTGCCTGCTTAACAAGCTGCAGTCTCTCTGCAGCAGAATTTATCAGGAGCTTTGAGTCCAACAGGCACAAAGCAACAGAGTCCTTGGGCTGCTATTAAACTGAAGCTGGAGGTCCAGCTAGAGAGCAACAGGTGAGATCCATCAACTCTTCAGTGATTTATGTCTCAACCATGTAACAGTCGTTATCCAGGTAACAGAAAGCTGTATTTTCAGAAGGCTRAAGCAGCATGCATTTAAAAAATAAATAATAAWAAAAAAAGCTGATACTGAAAGGTATCTGYTGGATATGTATTCTTATCCAGGATCCTTTCATGTGCATCAATTACACTTCAAGGGTTTGGGGCCTTCAGGAAAGGCCCCAGCATGTCTGTGGCATTTAATAGACAACAACAAGAAAAGCAGATATCCAATGTCAGTTTCAGCTAAGGGAACACATCCCTACTGGAACAGGCAAAATACATTCCCACAGTCATCATATCAGAACCAGAAACTACAAGAAAAGGCTTAGTGTGATGGGGACTCAGCTTCCTTACTTGTAATTCATAGCCAGAATCACATTTATAAAGAATCACATCTCCATAATTGTACTTGCTGCCAACCACAAATCCATGCTCTGGAGCTTCTGGGGTCCCACAGGATACTGGAATGCAGATGTCATCAGAAAACATGGGCATCCAAACACCACTTTCCTATAAAAAAAGAGATGTAATTAAAAAAGAAAGCAGGAGAGCATCATTTCATAYGAGAAATTCACATTTAAATGAAAAAGGAAAGTAATACTTGAAATATTCCATGTTTGTTCRGATGTGGTTACTGTATCATTATTTGTGCAGTCTTTAGTAAAACTCATTAATTCAAAGAACACTTGGTTGAACACTTGAACAGCACAGTGAACACAGTGGGGGAAGAACCCAAACTCCAGCTGCCCAGAGTCCATGCTCTGTACTTCAGTCCTGGGTGCATTTCTAGCAATATGACAAAGCTCTTCAGCTTTGTCTCCTGGAGCTGCAAGAGAAGTCTGATACCAGAGGAGTCAATCAACAAAAATGTGGGAATAAAATTAAGTTTTTAAATTTGTGCTGGCTTGTAAGCAGTAGCAAAGTAGAAACAGCTACTCCTGTTTTCACAAATCTGTGAGACGGCAAAATTAGGAGAAATCCTTTCCATATTAAGTGCTGATCCTGCAAAACCATGCATGTTCGGCTTTACTCATAGGACCATTAGGACCATTAGTCATATGACTTCAAAGTTTATTTGCAAGCTTAAGTAACAGATGCAAGCTTGTATATCAGGATGCAAGAATGGGTTACTGGCAGAGCTGGTAAAGTTCTTTGCTCCTTAATATACAGGGAGTTGAAGCTTTTATAGCTTGCTCAGTGTTACCTATTGTTCCAGAGAAAAGAAAAAGCTGTGCACATGATCTCTAAAATAATAAATCCCTGACATCATTTTTGAAAATCTCAGGTATGATCTGTTCTCTGAAATTAGGTGGAAATATGCAAGGAATGCTTTTCTAAGGACAGCATTATTTTTAAATGGAAAAAACACTGTTAATTTCCACTTCTTAAATCTACATATAGAAGACTAATAATCATTCTTACTAGGAAATAAGGACACATACACTTTGTAGGACAGGCTTCACATTTTTTGAGGTGTTGAGAGAAATTAAGGGCTGAGAGCTAAGTCAGAGCATGGGGAGGACTCTCCTGCAGAATAAACTGTGCAGATAACATTCTACCTTGCACGTCGATGTGTTTGCTCCCACCAGAATGTAGCCTTCAACGCATGACAGCGTGATGCTGTTATTCACTGTGAAGTTCTCCCCAGGTACGATCACACGGGTGATATTTGCTGGCAGTGGACACTTCCTGGGGCAACAGGAGATGCTCTGAGGAGACCACTGCCCATCTTCCTGGCAAGTGCACGTGTCCACCTCTGTCACCATGGTGTAGCCTTCCAGGCATCTGCAAGAGAACGTGAACATCTGACCACAGGCATACCTCTAGAGACAAGTTTGTCCAGAACCTRCTAACCAGGCAGATATTTTTTGCACAGTTTTCTGTAAGTGCACCTAGAGATTTCTCTTCTGTTTCAAGGCAGTCTTGTAAGAAGCATGCCTTTGCTGCACTTGTTTTTATGGCAAAAGCTGGAAGTTTTAGACCTCATCTCCAACTGTTGTTGCAGCACCATGTGAGTTGGTGGCTTTAGTGCTTGTAAGATCCTGACTGCTTTAGAAAACGCTAGTACTAGTGAGCTTCTGCATTGGCCTTCTCTCTGTAAAGAGGATTTTCAGTTAAGTAAAGAGTATGTGAGCGCCAGGTGTTTTTACAGCTTTCTGATTCCCAGTAATTGAATGCCCCATTTGTAATCATGAGCAATTCCAAAGGCACTCTCATTTTCTTCTATGAACAATCCAAGCTTCTTGGGAGTTGTTTGCTTTGAAGATTAAGGCTGATTTGTATTGCTCCATACATGCACCATTAAGTGCAACCCAGCTGGGCTGAAGACTATGGCCATCAGTGAGTTCGCTTGTAAGCAGGCAAACGCAACCACCCCCTYCATCTTTCCAGGATTCAGGGAAATGATGGATTCTATTAAATCCCTCAGTGAGTCATCCCCTATTTCTGCCTACAGCTATTTATTGCCTTTATTGGCAAAAAAAAGCATCTATCCTTCTGTCAAGGGAATTTCTCTCYCAATAGAAAGGGATCTGCATTGTGCCCACTGCATGGAACTAATACCACCCCTCTCTTGTCTCTGAATCAACAGGGTTGTTGTCACTGCAGTGTGTTATAGAAAATGGAACAAAAGGAAGATCAACACTTCCATACTATAATAAGCAACTGAAGCATCAAGAGGAGGTAAATGGAGTGCCAAATGGGGATACAGTGCTGACTGTTGCTCCCACCTGCTAAGAAAAGCTGAATGTTCTGAGAAATGCAASGGAGGTAGGGAGAAAGACAAAGAGCAATTGGAAAATAAAGTCTGGGGAGSAGTGAAGCCCCATAGTACCAAAACATCTTGCTGCAGAGAATTTCTCAATAGTATTCTTTTTGTGCTTGGCAGCATGGGACTTGTCAATCTGAGAATGTAATAAAGTGCAGCTTTTCTTCCAGGTATTAAAATCTTGCACTAATTGAGGGTGCTTAAACCTTCCATCCTTGTCCCTTCACAGACTTCATGAAAACAGAACGGCAGCAACCTTCTTACCTGTACTGGACCTTGCTCCCGTAGGTGTGCATACTCCCAATAACCTCTGCATTTGGGACAGAAGGTGGTGGCCCACAGCTTAGCAGCTCGCAGCTCGGGTAGGGTTTCTTCCAGACACCAGTCTCGGCACATGTCAGCTCTGGAYTCCCTCGCATGACAAAACCTGTCACGCAGTTATAGATGATGGTGTTCTCATCTGCAGAGCTGCTCCCATTGATAAATGTGTTGGGGATCACGGGTGGGGAGCCACAGGAGATCTGGGCACAGCGGGGAAACCCAGAACTCCACCTGCCTGCTGCYTCACAGGAGATTTCAGAAGGTCCTAGCAGTTTAAAGCCCTCCAGGCATTGAAACTGGGCACTCTGGCCACAGGTGAAATCTTTACCAAGAACAACCCCATTCTGAATCTGTGGCACGGGGCACTCGCAGGGGCGGCAGGATGGAAGACTTCCACTCCAGGACCCATTGGACAAGCACTGCCGCAGTGGACTACCATGGAGCTCATAGCCAGGGAAGCACTCGTAATGGACAAATTCCCCATAGGTAAAGCCTGAGCCATTCAGAAAYCCATGGGAGATGTCTTCAGGAGGTCCACAAATGACTGGATTGCAGTGTGGAGCTTCTGAATCCCAAGTGCCGTCCTTCTGACAGGTAAGTACAGAGACTCCTTGCAGGCTATATCCTTCATTGCAGYGATACTGCACTTTCTTATTAAAGCCAAAATCTGAGCCACTGATTTTCCCATTAAGGAGAGGTAGCGGCACAGGGCAGTTTACAGCTTTGCAAACTGGAGCAATACCACTCCAGCTTCCATTCTCAAGGCAGACCCTACTCTTGTCCCCATCCAACAGGAATCCTTCCTTGCAGCTGTACTCAGTGCGCCTCTGGAATGTGTATTCTTCTCCACTCACTTGACCATTCTCTAACACTGGTGGTGGGCTGCAGGAAACTGGAATGCAGATCGGCTCACTGCCATCCCATCTCTGGTTCTCCTGGCACGTCCTCTGCGTGGGGCCATTTAGCTGGTATCCAGGATCACACTCATAGTAGACAACACTGCCGTAAGTGTAGTTTTCTCCTTTTATGCTTCCATTCAAGAGCTGGCTGGGGGAGCTGCAGGTCACGGCCCTGCAGGATGGTGCAGTGAGACTCCACTGCCGGTTTGGCAAGCACAGCCGCTTGTCCGGGCCGATAAGAGCAAAGCCTGGCCTACAGGAGTACCGCGCCACGCTCCCAGGCGTGTTCTCAGTGAGGTGCAGGAAGCCGTTCTCCGGAGGTGACAACAGGGGGCACTCTATGGACACACAGGCAGGGGCAGTGCCATTCCAGGCCCCATCTTCTTGGCAWGCCAGAACAGCATTTCCCAACAGCTCATAACCTGAGTAGCACGTGTATAAAATGGTAGTTCCAAACAAGAAATTGGTCAGGTGCATCGCACTGTTCCCCTTCAGAGAACCTTTGAGGTCTTTCAAGTTGTCAGCGAGCAACATGTGGGAGAAGGAGGGACTTGCTGTAACACTCTCCTGGTCAGCGTGTCTCTCCCCATGTCTCACCTGCACATACTCCCCGAAGTCAATGTGAGGGGGCAGGCCACAGTCTGTTGGGAGGCAGGTTGGAGTGGAGCTCGACCAGCCTGACTCCTCACAGGTCTGCATGGCAAGGCCAGAAAGCTGGAAGCCTGGTACACAGCTGTAAATAACCATGGCCCCATAGCTGTAATCTGCACCTTCCACAAAGCCGTTCTCAATGGGCTGAGGGGGCTTGCAATTTATGGCTTTGCAGGAGGGAACGTCTTTATTCCACTGTCCTGTTTCCAGGCAACTTAGAGCTTCCTCTCCCTGGAGCTGGAAACCTCTGTCACAGGAATACCTGACAGTCTGCCCGTAGTGGAAGTTTGTGTATGAGTATTTGCCATTGAGAATCTTCTTAGGTCTTGGGCATTCAATAGGTTTGCAAACTGGCCTTCCTCCTAGCCACTGGCCATCTTCTCCACAGAGGATAGTGGTGTTGCCCATCAGCTCAAACCCCGGCTTACAGGTATAGAGGGCTGTGCTAAGGAAGGTGAGGCCCTGCACGTCAACAATGCCATTGGGAATTTCTTCTGGCTGGGGACACTCCACAGGAATACATTCTGGCAAAGGCAAGCTCCACAAGCCATCAGCCTGGCATCTGATGGTAGACTCACCCTTCAGCAAAAACCCATCCACGCAGATGTACTTCACCGTGCTACCAAAATGAAGGGATGAAGACAAAGGGTCACCAAAGGGGATATATGGAGGTGCCTGACACTGTACAACCTTGCAGGAAGGAAAGGAATCATTCCACTGCTGGGAGGACAAGCACTTCAGTACAGAGGAGCCATGCAAAACATAGCCCTCCTTGCAAGAGAACTGCACAACACCAACTTGTTGGGTCACCTCCTTCAAAACCAGCTGGTTTTCTGCCAAGGGTGGTTCTGGACATTTTGTTGGCACACACTTTGGGTTTTGCTTTTTGCTCCATTTCCCAGACTTCTGACATGTCCATGAGACATCTCCAATCAACTCATAGCCTTCATCACAGACAAACTCAACTCTGGAACCCACATCAAAGCTTTCTCCCTTGGCGTAGCCATGCTGGATGGGCGGAGGTTTTCCACAGCTGAGGGGGACACACTGAGGAGGTGATTCACTGTACCACTGTCGATTGGCTTGGCAAGTAAACACCGCGCTCCCAACCAGCTGGTAGCCAGACTCGCACTGATAGTTCACCTGGTTTTCAAAGAATCGTCCAGTTGTTTCCTGTAAAACAGATAAGACAGGGATATGTCTGAAAAGAAGATTCATTACTGAGGCAGTATGAGGCTGATTTTACTACTTGTGTGTTCACAGTCTAATTTCTAGCCACAGGGCAGCAAGGGTTGCCTTCAAAGAGACAAAAAGTGGAAGTGAAACAGCGCGTCTTGCTTTGAATGATGTACTCTGTTGTTAGAAACACTGAGGGCACCACCAAAAAGAAAGTAGAAAATGTAAGGTTTAAAAGGTTAGAGCTAGAAGGTATTTCTTTTCTATCTTCTCTTCTTCACCTCTGAGATCAAGGTGAAGACAAGGTCAGGCCAAGACAAAAGAGAAATGGGCTAGAAGAAGACATCAGGAAATGGTTTACTACTTTTATGTCTCCTTAGCTTATGGGTTGGCTTGTTGGCTGGAGCTTTCAGGTGTACTAAGAAACTTTTAGGAGTGCCATATGTGTAGCTGCAGGGTCTTCAGCAGGCAGCTGAGGAACCTGCAGAAGCTGCAGACTGAGCTGAGATTGAGGTACTGAAAAAGTATCTTTAACTGGAACACTGGAGGAACAATCCTGCCTTTGGAAGATAACATGGAGCAATATACAAAACACGCAGTATTTGTGTGAGAATCTCAACACAGGCTGTGGCTATTAACACTGGAGGCTCATGTAGGAACTGGGATGGAAAATTACTCAGACTTTAGTAAATTACAGAATGGTTGGGGTTGGATGGGACCTCCAGAGATCATCTAGGCCAACCCCCTGCTCCAGCAGGGACACCCAGAGCACGGGGCACAGGGCGGCATCCAGGTGGGTTTGGAGACCTCCAGGGACGGAGACTCCACAGCCTCCCTGGGCAGCCTATTCCAGGGCTCTGTCACCCTCACAGGAAAGTTCTTCCTCACATGGAGATGCAACTGCCTGTGTTTCAACTTACACCCATTACCCCTTGTCCTGTCTCTGGCCACCAATGAGAAGAGCTTGTCCCCTTCTTCCCTACATTCTTACTTCATGAACTTATACATGTTAATTAGATTCCCTCTCAGCCTTCTCTTCTCCAAGCTGAACAGGCCCAGCTCACTCAAATGTGAGATCCTGCTGGCTAGATGAATGAAATGAAGGGAAGTTCAGAAGAAAATAACTTAAAAAACACTTAGAAAAAAAGTTAAATCCTGAATCTTCTTTTCTGTAACAATATTCTTGTGCATCAAAACACAACACATTAAATAGCTGTTTTAGCTTTTGGCTGCCACAAAGAGATCGTTACCCTAAGGTGTATTGCAGTGTTATTTGATAGGGGAAAGAACAAGTTAGATCATTACCAATAAAGAAGTATTCTTGTATCCAAAGTACAGAAATCATCTCAAAGTGATTCATCTATTTCAAATCAGATTTTTTTTTCAGTAAAAAGACCATGACTTATGAATAATAGACAATAATACTTCACATGTCTCTAAACAGCAATGGGAAGCCACCCCTGGCTAAACAAAAAACATTTCCTGGTTAAGGAAATCATTGATGTCTCCTACCTGAAAGCCCACTTGAAAAAAGTAAATACCATCAAACTGTCCATGTTTTTGCATCACATTAGGACACTCAAATACATCTCATTTTTCTTTGCTTCCTCAATTTTAACAGGACAGTAAAAAAGAAAATGCAAGAGTGGCAATTCTGAAGACCCATCCACTTTCCTGTAGGATCAGGCAGTTGAGAAAACTCATTCCATACCTTAATAAAGCCATTCTCAAGCTGGGGTGGTTCTCCACAGGACACTGGGTGGCATGTGGGCAAACTGCCACTCCAGTTGCCAGTAGCCTCACAGGTTCTCTTCTTCTCCCCCTTGATGTAGAAGCCCTTGTTGCAGCTGTAGGCTACCACCGCTCCGAAGCTGTAGTTGGTGCCACTGGCATAGCCATTGTTCATGTGGGGCGGCTCTCCRCAGCGCACCGGGATGCACTGGATGCTCAGAGGGGAAGGATTCCACTGGCCACCTCGAAGGCATTCGATCTTGGCTGACGTGTTCAGAACAAAGCCTTCCATGCACTTGAAGCTCACGACGGAGCCGGCTGCAAAACGGGCTTTACTAACAGACTCCAGGATGCTGTAGGAGACCGTGGATGGCTTCTCACAGAAATCAGCTATGCAGTGGGGCATCTCCCTGCCCTCCGGAGGAACCCACTTCCCTTGGGCATTGCAAAGAAGCTGGGAGTTATCAGCCAGGCTGTAGCCATCTGAGCAGAAGTAGTAAGCTATGTCACCAAAAAGGCGGTGGCCACTCTCTGGAGATGCATTTTCCACATGTGGTGGTTCATCACAGGACACTGCCAGGCACTGCTGGTGGCTCACGCTCCACTCGCCACTGGCTAGGCACTCTATGGTTGCAGGGCCAACTAATGTGTAACTGTGGATAAGGAAACCACACAGGAAGTCAAAAAGACAGTCAACGTCAAACCCTACACTCTGTTTCCTGAAGTGCCTGTAGATCAAGCTTGTTAGCGCCCCGGAAGACGGACAAACAGGATCCCTTATCAAAATCGAGGCAAACTCTAAAGTCTGCTTGTCCATGGATAAAATCTYCCAATGAGGGAAATCCTAGAACACCTTGTGTGTATTACTCCTGTCTGGACAGAGAGGCAGCTTATCTGCCCATTTGTTACAATTCCTGAACCTGCATTTTGGTAAAAACTGGTCATTTACAGCAAACATAGTAATGCACTCTAACAGTCATCTACTCCTAAGAGAAACTGTCCACCCAGAATTTCCTCCTCTTTAGCAGATCTAAATGGAGAAGAAAGAGATGAGAAGTTCATACAGGTCATTTCGATTCCTTTTTCAGGCTCATCAATTTATTTTCACTCTTGCAAACAATGAGCAAACTCTTTGCTAGTTACCCAGAAATGCTTTCAATTGTAATACAATTGTAATTTTCCTAACAACTTCTTCCTAAAAATTCATTGTTAAGACTGCTATAGCGGTCTTAAACAACATATGCTTTTAATACTCAAAGGAAAAAAAACCTCCATAATCTTTAACAATGAAATTCTTCTACATGGTTACGGCTAGTGCAGTTGTGTTTCTCTAACCTGTCTTTGGGATACAGCGACAAACATTACACCATGCTGCTAACTGTCCCATACAAATCTGAGCTGTTCAAACATGCAATGTGTTATCTCTGGCATTGTTTGTGCTTTGTTTTACATACTCTGCTGTGAGCTCCCACAAAAAGTAAAGAAACAATACATACAGCAAAGCTCCTAGTGACCCTTTTTAGCTGTGGTCTGGAAACTGATTGTTCAGATTTTGATGGTAACATCTGTAAAAAGTGAGTTGTCTTGTTTGCAGAATTTGTTTCCAGAGCCTCGTGACAGGACTGCAAAAAAAGAGCCTGCTATACGCCAATGTTTAATATGATCCACCCTATTTATTGTCCCACAGACTGAAGTGGTCCTTTTCAAATGTTGTAATTTTGAACTGCATTCAAATTGATTCAATTGCATTTTGAATCTCAATACAGTCAAGAAAAACACACTAAGAAAGATGTGTTTCAATTATATTTCAAGTAATACCACAAAAACAGCTCATAAGAAAAATGCTGGCATATTCATGTACTCTTTTTCATCAAGAAGGAGCACAAAATCCACTGGTCATTTTAGGTATGACTTTGCATAGCCAAGTCAAGTTCTGCATATCTGCTACGCCTTTTGGGCAAATCAGCTTCAAGAAATTCAAAGGGGCTGCTCACAGGCTGCAAAGAACAGCATGCACAAAAGTTCTTGCTGGACCCTCTCGCAACCAGTGTTATATTCATGCTAGACGTAACCAGAATGGAACATTTATTTGATAAAATTCTGTCTCACTATCATAAAAATACTACACTGATTAGAAAGAAATGAAAAATGAATAAGGCATCTCAATAAAAAAGTGAAGTGATACTTTCAAGGAAAAAGAAGTTACCACACCAGAACAGTTAAGTTAGTCCTTATAACATAMCAAATATTGTTGACATGGTGTGAAGGGGAACAGAGAATTCCTTATGATCAGGACCTTGAGTTTATCATACGTGATAATGACAAAGTTATGGGATTCCTTGTGAAGCAGAAAAGACTTTGCTAGCAGACCAGTCTGAATATTACTCCAGTAGTGCTAATCTACATACCCTTCCTTACACGTGTAAGAGACTGCGTTTCCAAAAGTGAAGTTACTTCCATTCACGACTGCATCTTTGATGGCAGGAGGAGGTCCACAAGAGACAATGCTGCAAGCTGGAGGTGTGCTGTTCCAGTTCCCTGAGGATTCACAGACAAGTACAGAAGGTCCCTGAAGACTGAGACACAATGGTCATTATTAATGGCAGCATTTCATTTAGTGAGAAACCAAGAGTAGAAAGWTCTGCTCCTCATGGACTTCCTGGCCTCAGTGAAACCAAGAGCGGTCCCTTCAACAGAGGCCTTTCTTGCACTCTCTTCATGCAACAAAGCGCTCATGCTATCACTGCAGCTGGTGCTCAGGCTGTTTTGAAGAGAAAGCTGACAGAACTCATGAGGGGGTCATGCAAACATATAGGACTTTCACCACAGCTTTGCCCATTTTGAGCTATAAGAAAAGGCCATAGGACTTGCAGAATCCACACAGATGACGTATAGCTCCCAACTATGGGCTGTGCCTCCATGCAGGATTATGGGTGAGGCAAAAAGCACACAAAAGTGTCTGCAAGAAGAGACTGGGCACATCCTTAGGTCCAGACAMAATGTGTAGGAGGGACGTGGTGTGGGAGAGCTTTCTCTTGAGCGGTGACCAAAGGAAAGAGGACTTCTYTCACAAACCTAGGCTACATAGGGGAAAGAAACTGACTCACAGCTGATGTGGTATTATTGCCCTGCTGACCTGACTCCACAGTCAAAAAAAAAAAAAAAATCATTAAGATCATAAAAAACACTTAGTTTATCAGAATACTACTGAGCCCAAACTTTGGATCTATGTCCTAACGTTACACTGAGCTGCAGCTCAGGTGCTGATTTAAATTACCGTGATTAAAACATACACATCTTGAGTATGCCTCATCTGCTTGCCTACAGCTGGAAAACTGGGTGCCTACAGCTGGAAAACTGGGTGTCTGCAGCAGGAAAATTCAGAAGAAATTCAGACCTAAATAGGTCCATATAAGACCACTTATGTCACAGCACGGCTGCAGGACAAACAGTTATCAAGGACAAACAGTAGCTTGTAATTAAAGTCAAGTCCTTACACATAGCATTTATGTATTCATTTTTAATTGTTGCCTRTTAAAAATGTGTTTAAAACATAATTGATTTATGAATGTAAAGCAGAAAAACCTTAAAATAACTATTATGTAGTTTTCAAGAAAGACATGATTAACTTTCAAAAGGTTCTTTGACCAGCATGTTAAGGCATTGTGAAACAGCAGAAAAAAAAATAATATTGTATGTGCTCTAAAGATAATTAGGCCTATGACAGTCATTAAAAGCAAATGGCAACTTTCAAACATAATTACAACCAATTTTTAAGTGTTCACAATACATGTTTGAGGTTGCAGGTAAAGTAAAAGCATTAGAAACATATATAYGGCACTGAGTGCCATAAGTACTCTATATCACACATACATAAGGTCACTGAGTGACCTTTTTGCAGCTGCTCCACTTTATATGCAATACAGAAACTACATAAAAGACTAAAAGAGTCTTTTGAATTTTTACTATTTTAACTTTGTAAGCACCACCCCAGCATTGACTATTGCAGATGTACTTTGGACATTCCAGCAAGCCTTTTTTATTCAGCAGTCCGACTCTAGGCTGTTCCTGCATTTACCTGTATCCACTGTCACAGGTGTATGACACATGGGAAAGGTAGGTTGTGCCAGTGAGCAGGTATTTTCCATTGCTGATGTCTTCTGGGCTAGGGCATGTTACTATCTCACAGGAGGGGGGAGGATGATTCCAAACACCACTAGCAAGGCATGTAATTTCCTTTGCACCCACTAAGTTGTATCCATCATTGCATCTATATTAGAAGAAAAGAATCACCATGAAACAGAGTCTTTTATTCACAATATTGTCACCAGCCTGCCCTTTGTTTTCTATGTCCATACCTTGACATAACAACTTTTGCTGTAGAACAGAGAGAGCTAGCACTGGAGTAAACATTCATCTCTGCTAGTTTTCAGCAATTTGATCCAASTCTTTCCAGTATTTTTATCCCGCTTTGCTCATTTCTATTTCAAATGATCTAAGTTCAGCCGTACTCCTTCATTTGTTGTCAGATTCTCAGGGATTTATTAATGTAACATCCCAAATTTACTAAAATCCTACCTGTATATCACCTTATTGCGGTATGTAAAATTTGAACCCAAAATGGCACTGTTCTCTGGAATAACTGGACCACCACAGGATACAGCTTTAAAAGATGAGATCACAAGAGAGGTTGACATATCACAAATAAAAGAGAAACAAAAATCAAGATTGCTGTGCTCTTAAGAACAATATATTTTTTTTTCATTTTCTAAGTTATAACAGATTTAACATTTTCAGGCTTGTGGTCTGTGTTCAAGCCTACTGAGAAGTTTGACTAACTGGAAACACATGAGACTGTTCCACAGTCTACGAGCTTGATTCACTGCTTCATTTTATCCTCTTGCCCCACCTTATTAGTCATGGTTTTCTAAGGAAACAGGTTTCACAGTCATGTCATATGTATGTATGTGCATTAGCCTGTCCTGTTTCATTGCTTTTTTCCACTGAAATACAGTTAATAGGCCTGAAGATATTAAGCTGCCACAAGTTCCTTGAAAACAGGACCTGGGTAACCACACTCTAAGGAAGACAATGATAGCATTCTTTGAGACATTGGATAAAAGAACATAAAAGAACAACACTGTGAATACAGGAAATGCTGGAAAAACTTCAGCTGATGTTTACATCTCTTCAGGCAACCAAAGCTTCAACCCTGAGATCTTAGTCTCTTAGACTAAGAGACTAAGGTTTCATTAGTTCCTCTGCTCTTCTAACTACATTTCACCCCTTTCCATATCTCTAACAATGAACATTACAGTAAGTTTTCTCCCCAAGAACAATACCTTCACAATTTGGTATTGGGTGGCTCCACTCCCCAGTCTCCAGGCATGTAAGTTTAGTCATTCCAGTCAGCTGAAACCCTTCTTCACAGGAAAAAGTTACTTCACTGCCAACACTGTAAGTGTCCCCATAAAAATGACCATTCTCTGGGTATCCTGGATTATAGCATTTCACTGGTTCTGAGAAGGAAGACAGAAACTGACTAACAACATCTCTAAGTTGCAAGAGTTACAAACCACACGGTGAGACACTCTCAGGAATTTCATGCAAAGTAAGAAGGCAGAACATGTGCAAAACACCTGTAAATAATCTCCAGGTTTGCCACATTTCCTCTGTTACATATGGAAATCACAGGCATAGGCTGATGCAAGCAAGCTAATTTTAAGGCAGAAGAATTTGCAGTCCTAGACTGAACACTGTTTGCATTCACTGTCAGAACAAACACATCTCACAGTCACTTTTCCCTCCCTGAGAAAAAGACCCCCGCAGAACACCCAGGCCTGAGCTGGAAACCAGCTCAGTTGCTTTCTATCCCAGCTTGCCACCATCTTGGCATCTTCCTGCAAAAATATATTGCTTAATGTTTCCATGCAATAGGCAGCTCAACTCCTACTCAGATGGTGACATCCAAATATTTCTTCTCTTCACAACCTTGCACTGAGAAGTGACACATACGTACTGGCATGTGGCTTTCTTAAGTGTATGTGGTCCATTTAGCAGGAAAATGTTTTTGCACATATCTGTCTCCTAACTGTCATTCCTATGTCCTAATGACAGTTTTGTCCGTAGGGACAGCTGCACTCTCAAGAAGTAAGAGCAGGCACTTGGTCATGGCCTAGTTTAGGCCAAAGTGATGTGGAGAAGAAGGCATGCTTGCTTTGATTCTCCTTAGATATCCATCACTAGCAACTGATCTCCACAGGGATAGCCAGGATACTGGTCTAGAAGAAACCTCAGAAAGGCTAGTTTGATGTTTTTCTCTTGCATACCTGCACATTTTTTACCATCTCCTGAGTATGGGGGAATGCAAGTACAAACATAGGATCCATTTGTGTTAAGACAGGATGCGTGCTCATCACAATCTGATCCAACAGCACATTCATCAACATCTATAGAGAAAAATAACAATAGAGATGTTGCTTGATTGGTACTTGTCATAAACATTTGCTTCAAATTTCTGCTTCACTGTTAGATGGAATTTCTTTAATCAACATATTTAAGAATCACCCTTAATTCAATCACATGCCTGATGTACTAGTAGAAAGACATAAGTTATGCATTCCGGTAAATTCACTACAAAATATTATAAAACCATGGAAAAGTCAGAGAACTATCTATTACCCTTTTATCAGTGTTTCAATTAAAAAAAAATTGTTTCCAGGCAGAACATTTTAATTCAACTGCACTTATCTTCTGGTTTGGACAAAAAATAGGAAGGAAAACTCTATTGCACTAACAACTTTGTATCTCAAATCTCCCTCTGGTAAAGTAGGAAAATTTAGGCATGAGGGAAATAACTTTGAACATAACATATGAGAAGAGTGCAGTCCTTGTGGAACAGAATTTTACTAAAACGAGAAGTACCTGCAGATTCCACAAATCTTAGAGTGTTTTCAAAATGTCTTAGTTATTATGATCAATAATCTATATTACAATAATGCCTAGAAATGTCAGTTGATGATTTATGCGCCATGTGACATGGTACTGTACAGCAAAACAAATCCCTGCCTCCAGGTCACTTCATATCAGCTTTAAAATCCAGACTGCAATGAAGTGTTCTTGGAATGTAAACCATGAGTCATAAAGTGTGAGGGTCAATTTGGAAGCATCTCACTGAAAAATGCCAGCATTGGGGATTATTCTTCATACAAACCGGAGTCTTAGAGAACATRACAATTCTTCATTTAAAAGGTCTACTACAGGACAGTTGTTGAATTGGGTATAACAAGCAAACACATAGCTGGAGTTCTTTGTCCACTTCCAGACAAAAAATGCAGAGACTATTTCCAAGCAAAAAAATGCACAGTAAATGGAGCAAATGCATTAAAAATTGGTCTGYGGAATTCACGTGCTCATTCTTCACTGCTGAATGAGTGGTCAGTATGAAAGAGCCAACAACACTCTGCACAGAAAAGGGTTTTCTCTCTGATACTCAGGCCTAGAACTGCTCATTAAAACCAAACGAGTTGCCAGTTACACATGCGTCAGGAGAAAAGTGCTAGCACAGCAAGACAGGAATGGCTGCTCTTCTTGTCATGTCTCATAKGGTGAGGAATAGAGGATGGGCACTATGAATCAGAGCCACAGCAGAGCAAATGGGTGCTCCAGGGAAGAGGTGTGCCCTGATTCCCGGCACCTGCTTGGGACATGAATCAGAAAGGCAAAGGGTGAGCCTGGCTGCCAAGCCCATGCTCGGAGTCATTTTATACCCTGCTGTGCTCCACGAGGTCAAGGCAACCTGCGAGGCAGGACACAGGGTGTTGTTTCCTTTACAGCTCATGCTCCTGCAGATGTGGAATTATGTGGACAGCTCTGCAGCATCTGTTCTGGGCCCGCTCATCTTTACGCTTTCCAGAGGAGAAAAACAAGGAGTAGCACAGTAGACTGCATTGCCTGTTTGCAGTTTCTGAAGGAATCCAAAGGAAAGAAGAGGGATCCTGCTCCATAGCAAATTTTGGTAAAGCTGATGGCTTTGCTATTGTTTGCACTGAAAAAAAAGTGTTGTACCTGCTTGTTTAGACAAACCAACCAGCCAAATAAAATGTAAGTCATGTCAAGCTGTTGCCCTCTAACACACACACTAGGCATTATTAAAACAGCTGCTTACCAACCCATGCAAATTCAGTTAGCTTGTGGATTTCAGCGGGGATTGGTTGGAGAGATGCCAAGATGAAGAACAAGACCTGTCCTGAAGAGCAACAGACCTGTGGGCTGAAGGGCTACCTTTCAGCTCCTGCAGCTGCATCTGGTATGTCACATCCCTGATCAAGACAAGTTATGGGGGGTCAAATGGGGGAACTGAGGACCTAACTGGTCCCATACTTCTCAACGCTGCAGCTGCTTGCTGACAGGCGTGCTGAAGCACAGCAAGAGGCGCAGATTAAAGCACAGGATGCAGGATCTCTAGCCTAAAGGAACCTGGAAGGAGGGAGGGCATACAGGCTGATAGGACGAGCCTGTACTTACAGAGGCTTATTGAGTAGGAAGCATGGAGACTGGGACACACAGTAGGATGGAGATGGGAAGGTGACAAGATGTAGAGCACTGGATTGCAGTAACATGAATGTTTTGGAGTGTGATTCTCAATATCAGAACCAAATCCCACCCAAAACCGAAGGCACAGGAGAAGCACTGGACATACAGACACACGTATGCCTCTCTCACCAAGGCAAGATGGTGAAATGCCATTCCAGCTCCCATTGTCTGTGCAGAACATCCTGGAGTCCCCCAGCAAATAGTAGCCATTATTGCATTGATAGGTAACAGTACTGCCAGCAAAAAAGTCCTCGGCTGAATAAAATCCATTTTCCAAAGGAGGAGGCACTCCACAGCTGATCCCTGAAACATGAGTGAAAAGAGTGCAGAGATATTAGCAGATCAGATGTATAAAGATTAATTTAAGAGAAATTCCACACCAGAATCACCACTAGAAATTTATTCTCTGCAGAAATTTATTCTGTTTTTATTGATCAAATACTTGTGGAACAGGCTGAGAAAGGTCAGTGAGTATGTCTGACCCTCGCGTATTCAGCACATTTGAGGAAGATCAACCCTGATCTGAGCTCTGTACTCAAAAGGGAATATTGCCTGCTCACACACAAGAAAAACAGACAGTAACACTAAAAGCATTTTGGTGCCTTTTCATTGGAACACCAAGAAAAGGATAAACACCAAAACACTGAAAAGGAGCAAAGATCTCTCTGCCACTTATCTTACTCAGTGCCTTATGAGTTTTATTCTTTAGGCAGAAGAGATCCATGTTATGAGCAATTCAAACTATAAAAAATGCATTAACTCCCAAGATGAATTTTCTCCAAATTGAACTATTCTGGAATTATGCAATGCATGCTTCTGGAAAAAAATTACTACTATGCTGAAATTAGAAATATAGTCAGCTCCAACATGTACAACTGCCATCAGATGCGCTGTCAGAGTAGAGGACAAAGGCATGCTGGAAAATAGGAGTTGGGAAGGCAGCAACCAAAGAACCCTATGAACCAAAATGTACACAGTCCAGACAGGATCATCCATCACATTTAAAGAAGTTATTCTATAACATACCAAATGCCAGTGCTTTTATTTCAAAGGCATTCTAAGTGATACTTAAAAATGCACAGATATTCTAGCATTTCCTGTATACCTTTCACACTCCTGGTGTCATCGGAAAAGACAGCTCAGAGCACGAGATCTCTCATCCAAATAGATCATTTCCATCACATGCATTTAAAAGTGACTGGAAAAGATGGCAAAACTGGACCACAGGGTGGCTCCATTCAATAAATCTTAAGTTTTAAGTATTTATGATAGGCTGTGACATGGATGGATTCAAATCTACATAGATGCTTTACTGTAGCAGGGATAAATAGTCTGGGAACTCTGGTAGGATCTAAAAGGAAGCTGAAATTTAGTAATCGTGCCATTCAGACGACTCACTTTCGCAGCGGGGAAGAGGCCGGGTCCACTGTCCCAGGTTAAGGCAGTGCTGAACGGAGTTGCCCACTATCTGGAATCCTGGGTCACAAGAAAGGCTCACTTTTGACCCTGGCTTTAAATCAGCTGAAGAGGCCCGCAGATGTGGTATGGATCCTTGCAAGGCTGGGCAGTCTGTGGACAAAACACACGCATGCAGAGTGAGATGTAATGCTGAAAGGAATACAGTTGTTATCTGACTGCTTATCCTGAATAAACTTATCCAAGGGAAAGTTTTGGGAAACGTTATGCTATGCTCTGCCTTGCTCAGATTGTAAGGGTTTCTCAAAACAGCAGTGCTAAGGAATACGTAGAGGTGAGGAGGTGGCAGATAGTATAATACACTTCAAGCATTTTTCGCATAAAGGATGTGAAAACCCTTTTTTCTGACCCAACAATTTTCTTCATTCTTTCAATATCTCAATTCAGGAAGCAATAAATCTCTGTCTGAGATTCCAGTGAACTTCTGTTACAAAACTCTGGAATTTGAGGAATGAAGGACTGAATGTTCCAAATGCTAAAATATCAAAATATTCAAGGCTAGTAGGGCAAAAGCTACAAGACAGCATATTTAACCTTACAGTACAGTTTTATTACAATATTGTTCAAAACAAAAAGAATTCTAAGAAATAAGGTTCTAACCAGCACAAAAAATACTCTTGTAATCTATCTTCACTCTTCCAACAACTCCTGACAGGAAATCTGGCCAGGCTAGTACATTTCCTTTTTGGAGTTCTTCTGGACAGGATGTAGCCAGAGATTTTACCTATGGATTTAAAACAGGTAATTAGGTGCTGTTTAAAGATCTTGTAGGAAAAGATACAAAATTGCAGGAAAAAATACAAATATTCCTTCCATGCCTGCATGCAACACTGAATCATATTACTGAGAAAGCGATCCTTTTCCTTTCTAGTAGAAGATGTTTCTAGTCAAACTGATTCCTGTTCTGTATTTTTTTAAGCCATCTAGCTATAGAGAGGAGGCATGTATTGAAGCAATACCTAAAGGAGTGTTTGCTATACAAGTAAAACATGAAACATAAGGGTGAGGTGGATTGAGAACTGTGTGCATGGCAGAGCTCAGAGAGTGGTAGTCAGTGGTGCAGA